ACACACACACACACACACACACACACACACACACACACACACACACAGCAGACAATAGCAACAAGAGGGTGACAATAGAGTGAGTTTGTGTGTTGTTGAGTGTATGAGAGAGAGAGAGAGAAAAAAAGAGAGACTGCATGTTTTAAACAGCATGAACTGGTGATAGAGTTTGTTGTGGTAGTGTCCAAAGAACCCGAGGCAGTCATTACCTCTACTACTGAACCATTTAGGAAAATAGCCTCTTTTCAGAGCTGGCCAAATGTCTGTCTGCTATCTGTATATTTATTTATGTGTGTGTGTGTGTGTGTGTGTGTTTGTGTGTTTGTCTGTCCTGAGGGCTTGCTGTGTTGCTCCAGTGCTAAGGGGTACTTGTAAAGCCAGTCATAAAGCTACTTTATGTTGGGCTGTTAATAATTATAGGCTGAGACTATAATTATTTGACCCACTAATCAATTATCTTTCATACTAACAGTTTTTTTCCCTCCTCCCCTCTTGCAGAGACTGGTGGAAGCGGCAGAGGAAGCCCACCTGCAGCATGAGGAGGATCCAGACCTGCAGGTATGTGTGTATGGAGCTACAGTATATTCTGACAACACGCACACACATTATTACAATCAAGATGTTCATTCCCTGTTCTTGTAAGCTCATTAATTAAATCATGCAGAAAATAATTTCTCCTTCAGAGGCCAGTGCTTCTGTGATTGGACCCCAGTGAGACAAAAGGTTCAGCGAATGGCAACGGCCCCTGTAAACACAACAGAGCAGAGGCAGAGAGAAAAGGCATTAGGAATCTCGTTCTGCAGTCTGTTTCGCTTGACTAGGCTTAACAGTCTTTTCTCTTTTAAAAGTGTGTGTTTCTCCACATCTCTCTATAATCATTTTGTCAGCATACGTCTCTGTCTGCCACAGTCACACCGTCTGGTGTTCACATTCCCACATGAGCAAACAAACATGCATACAAAGAATATTATATACACTTTTTTTTTTAATTGAACAAAGAAAAAATCCACCCCACTCTCCGACATCTGTTAGTGATCACTTACTGTGGATTTATGGGTCCATCTTGTTGAATGATTTTTACATTTTGTGGATAACTGAACAAAATCATAGACAATGAGATATTATATTGAGCCAGTTCTAGCAAACAGACTAAGGTTTCTAAACAAAGTCATCAGTGAGATGTCCACGCATGCAGGGGGGTAGAAAACAAATCACAGTGACTTAGAGCTCATGAGGAGATCAAGAGTTTTTTTTCATGCCATAAACTGCACAAATCGCAAAAGTAATGTGTTTGATATGCTAAGGAAGAAGCCTCCCTGTTAGCTCAGCGTGTAGAATTAGCTATTAGCATCTGGATTTTACAAAGCACTGGAAGGCGGTGGATGCTTTTTGCACAGATCCTAAAGAACCCCCCGCTTTAATGTTTAACACAGCTCACACAGTTACCGCTCTGCGATCAGCGCTTTGATGATCAGTTTGATGTGCATTGTCAGTGTGTGCCAAAAAAGTTTTGTAAATTCGAGGATTGATGACACAAACAGATTAACCCCTAAACATGAATTTATCTCTAAATACTGAATGGGATAGATAATAAAGTATGCAGTGTTTGTGCAGTAGCTTAAATGTGTCTGTTAGTTCATGTTGGACTGTACTCTACCCCATCAGATGATGTTAGGATGTTAGGTGCAATCATCATGATTGCACCTACAGATGTATAATAATAATATCTAAAGATTAAATTGTATTTGGGAAGCATCTAATGTATTTTGTCAGAGGAGAAGCAATTAATCCTCATGTTTTTGACAGAATTTACTCAGTGACACACATATTGAGTCTGAAACATAAACCCCAAATTATTATGGTATTATATCACTGTCATTTTCCTACTCAAAAACTCAAAAATTTTAAACTACTCCCTGGGAGTTCCACCCTCAGTTCTGCAGACTTGGGCGAATGCATTTCGCTAATCATATCAGCATACACACCCCCAGACCCAGCCTCCGCTCTCATGGTTCAGCCTCAAATCCATTTGAGCAGCTTTGATTTTTAGAGTGCAGCTTTGTAGTGTTTGTGTGTCTGTGTGTGCGTGTGTGTGTGTATATGTGTGTGAGCCAGAGAGAGGGAGACAGTGCACTTGTAATGTTTTCGCCTGAGTTTGCTGCGCATCATGCACATCTCAGAACAGAGTTTATTAAAGTAGGAGGAGCAGCAGAAGAAACTTGAGTGTTAAAAAGGAAATGTGATGCTAAGCCGACTTGGGAGCATTTGCTGCTAAACTACTTATAAAGTCTGTGGCGTGAGTGTTATGTGTGCTTGTGTTTCTGCCTGTGGCGGTGAGTATGTGTTTACTCTGTCAGCTCTTTAAGACATTACAGAGAATACCCTGTGGTTTTCTGCTTTCATGGGCCACTAAGATGGATCAATTACTAAATGTAACCACTGACTGCTGTCCAGTTCTGAATGTTCCTCTCATAGTACCCCTTTCCTTCCTTTTCTGGTAAACTTGATCTCTTTAATTTCCTCCTCCATACTTTAAAGGAAACACTGTAAGACTTAAAAAAGGCTTTAAAGAGGAGCAAGGCTTGACTTTTTTTGTTTGGATGGTGCATTATTTTTATTATCTAACATAGATAACAGTTAATCGACTGAAAATTAACCCATTTTCTAAGCAAAAACTCCAAACATACATCCTGGTTTTTTTTCCCAATAAACTAATCAAAAATAACAGATTAATAGATGATGTAAAAAAAGAAGCTTCAGGCTTATAGATAACGCAACTTCACATTGATGTAATAATAATCTATTGAGATTTGCTGCAACTGTGGTGTTCGATGTAAGAAATAAATTCAGCTGCTGTTCCTAACATAGAGTTTAAGCTCATACAAATCAGCAAGTGCTTCTGTCAAGACAATTTGGCACAGAAAATATCCAACTGTAGACCATAATTCAACATAGTCACACAAAAATATATTTTGAGAATGTGTGCTATTCTTCAATTGAAAAAAAATCTGTCTCTCTTTCTACTGTCTGACAATCCTGTTTGCTTCACTTGCACAATCACCCACAGCTGATTGCAACAAGTACACTCTGGGTCTGAACACCATTCTGGAACTTGTATATCACCAGCTGAAGCTACAGCTACACCGGGAGATCAGCCTGTAAAGAAAATTGCCACGTTTTATCACAAGATTACTTTGTATATGTTTATTAGCAAATTTCCAGCTATTGTTTGGGCTGGGACGAGTGTAGACTATCACCCACTCACTCGGTTGTCCAGACTCTCATTCAACTTAACACACACTACAATATAACAATGGGTTCCTCAGTGAAAAGTAAATTGTGAGTTTTCGCCTGTTGCAACTACCCATGCAAGTGGAGTACATGAATATATATAGTTCCCTGTACATGTATTATTCGGAGTGTACTATATAGTTTCATGCATCTTACTTTGTCTGCACATATGTGTGTTTGTTGATGTTGTTGCATGTAAACAAAACTGCCTTCATAGATATGTACTTGTGTTTGTCATGTGTGTCATTTGTGGACATTTGTCTGTGTGTTTTTGTTTTCATATGCCGCTTTAGGGGCAGTAACATTGTGTGGGCTCACAGCGGTGCTTTATGCCAGTAATTACTTGGCGGAGAAGATGAGATGAGCCCAGCGAAGTGAGTGTTTCTTTGTTTCAGCTTTAATGACACAGCTCCAGAGCTGATAATGGCTGATAGAGAGCCTATAGTATAATGAAGGGTCTCACAATACCTAAGACAGAGTGAGACGCCATTATCAAGCCAAAATATCTCCATAAGAGATATTATTTTTAAATAACTGTTTTATATATATATGTAGTATACCAAAAATGTGGGGTAATGAAGTTGGAAGAGAAGGAGGACAAAAATGAACACGATAATGACAATTACATGTACCGGCCAGATGCTTGTTAGCATGGTGTGTGACCACAGTAATAGAATCTAATCTAATCAGAGATTAATGTAATAGCAGATGCAGTTGGTGTATGATGCAGTCTTACTTCATTACAGAGCTTAATTTCTGAACCTGGAAAACTCACAATACAGAGTTCCTGGGTTGGGTACAGAGAGCAAAACAAGTCAGGGAACGTACGGTATAACCACAGAGCCCTTATAGTGGACAGAGGACCACAGTACAGGTTTTCATTAGTCACACTCATTTAAGCACACCACTCAAATGCATACTTTTTTAACAACAAGTCCTTAGTAATAATATGACAAAATATTCAGAAACCACTTGTCCGCATCACTCATCATCACTTTTGTCTTTTTCATATTACTGTACCGGTCCCACTACACATAACCCCTCAATCAGTCATTATCAGCACATACTGCTAAGAAAAAACATACGTATGTGCTTAGCTTTTTCATTTTTTACAAAATCCATTCTCTCCCTCTTCATCTTGGCCACGCTGCTGATCCACTGAAACGAGTTTGGCGTGTTTAGGGTCTGAAAGATAAAGTTCTGCTGATTTAAGCGGTTAACAAGTAACATCAATGGGAAATAAGGGAATGGTAGAACTCCTTGCATCACATTTTGTAGAAAATGGATAGAAAGATCTTGATAGTCCCTGGACAAATAAATGTGGGAGGTTCCGCATCATGTTCCAACATCCGCCACAAATTAATCCCTGCTTCACCAGCTCGGCCATCGTAGTTATAATAACTGATTGTCTTCGCTATATGTGTGTGTGTGCGTGTTGTTATTTATCCTTAGTTAAGCTGGTTTTTCAGCACCACTTGGTACATTATGTCCCACCCATTATTTTTCATTGCTAATTGGGTTTGAATTGCTTGAGCATAAAATTAAACGTTTGAGCTTTAGCTTTAGCTGCGATCACAAACTGCTTTGGTGGTTTTTGGTGCTATTTACATGTCATGCATGAATATGAATATGCATGTACATGTTTGTGAGGGCTGTATGTGTACACCTGTGTAGGTGTTTGTGTGTTTGCCTGTATCTGTACAGCTCTCATGGTGGCATTTCAAAAAGTGCCTTTTACTGCAGAACATGGTGAATAGATGGTAATTATCACCAGCTGCGCTAAAAATACCACATCCACGCTGTAGGGTGAAACCTCCTCCATCAGTATTCGGGGGTTTATTATAAAATGTTTGCGTGTTTTTTTGCTATTGGATACATATTTGTCTGGCAGCGGTTTGATAGGAATTTCCTTATCTATCCTTTCCAGAGCTCTTCTGCGTCCATGTGAAATTGGCACGGTAATCTGCTGCGATTTTCCTCCCTTGCTCTTTTACCCGCACTGCTCATGTACTGTAAATAGGAAAGCAGAGAGCAGTCTCCCATGCCCTCTGCAGCCAATGAAATCCTTCCTTGGAGGTTGGAGACAAACAGCCAATTGCCAATGATGTTGACTAAAAATGTAGCCCCAGTCTGGAGCAAGCATTGGGAGAGAAATGCTTAATCTTTTTCTCCCTCTCCTTTGTTCTCATACACCCCTGTCTAGGGTATTACCATAGAGTGCAGAGAGGTGGCCACATGCTTGTTGATTTGCCAATTTGCTCTTCTTA